GGACGACGGGGCCGACGGTGGGAGAATAGATAGGAGGTCGAAAGGGTGGGCGCGCTGTGCGTGCCCGACGCAGCGCCTGGCGTCTCAGCCCTGGGCGTCGCTATCACCCGCAGCATCGACATTGTCGTCTTCGCCATCGCCCTGTTGATCTTCGGGTCCACCCCCCTCGGCATGCTCGGCACAATTCAGCCCATGGAGAAGATCGGCATCGGGCTCGTGATCCTCTATCTCCTCGCCCTTCGCGACCACTTTGTCGCGTAGCTCGCGGGCGCAGTGCAAAATGCACGTGTCATTCCATTCCACTGGTTTTTGATAGATGCGTCTTGACGAGTTGTGGGATTTCACAACGACATACACTACCCTGCGACGCTTGTCGCATCGGACCCCTGGCACTCCGCTCAGTCCTCTCTTTTGTTTCTCGGTGCCATCGTCCTCTGCTGCTTTCAGCGCAGCACATCTGATGTAAGTCAGTGCGCTCTCTGTACATTCCACATGTACCTTGCTAATCGCTGATGCAGAAAATATGCATCTTACTGCGATCGGCTCGCACTTCAAGGCCACGCCGCCACCATTAAATTCAACCTCTGGCAACTGAACCGTAACGTATGCTGGCATAGCACTCTCGTCGATGTTCTTCTTGTAGGCCTTGATCAGTTTGTCTTGGTCAGACTGGTCCGACAACAATGGGTCTCGCGATTTCATGTGCTCCCATATCGCAATGTCCGATGCAGCGTTTCGGAGGGCCTTCAACTCTTTGAAGAAATGATTTTGGGCAAATGGGGCGTTCCTGTTTGTTGGGTTCTGGATGTCGACGAACTGGAAGAGCCTCCTGTCCATCAGGGATACCTCGATGAACGCAATACCTCCGCTATGGACAATAGTCCGCGGTATCCACGGCTCCTTGAGCCCGCCGCCCTCGATCACCGTGCGCATGGAAACAGACACTGACATGCAGACGTGCGGGGCAGCGTGGGCCGCGTGATACCCCAGCGATTGAGCCAGAACGGCTATGGTGCGTTGCGACGATGTCGCAGACTGGCGCGATGCTGCATCGCAGAATGATGCGATGCGATGGTGTGATGACGCATCGCAGTATGAAGCATTTCAGTATGTCTTCGCCATCCAACAAGGTGCGTTCATATACGGAGGGCGACGCCAACGCCCTGCGTAATGCCGCAGCAATGCGGCGAATGGGCGGCTCACTGCGTCTTTGCTTTTTTCTTGACGGGCTTGGCGGGCGTGGCGTCGGACAATGCAACTTTCCTTGCAAGCGCCTTTGCTGTGTCCTCGGACATGCGCAACCTGTCGCCGCTCTTGAGCTCGACCGTGTTTTTGAGGATGGGAACCTTAATGCCGTTCGTGGCGGTCACAAATGTCACAGCCAAGTTTGGCTTCTCCTTCGCGGTGCACACGCCGACCAACCAGAAAGGCACCCCGTACTGATCTGGCACGCGCTTCAGACCACCAATGCCAGTCCCACCCTCTTCACGCTTGAGCCTGAGCCCGCCAGCGGCCATCAACGCGACGTTGTAATCGGCATGCTTGGCAGGGTCGGTATACTTCCTAAGGCAAACGTTGCCAATATTGATCTCATCCGTCGCCTTCTTGAGCGATATGGTTGTCGTCAACGGAACAAGTCCGATGGCGTCCTTCTTGAACTCCTTCTTCACTGACACCGCTTTATATTTGATTGGCGAATGAATCGCCGTGATATGCTTGAGGCAAGCACTATGTTGTGAATAGACTTCGTCGAGTGCAATCTTGATCCGAGCTTCCTCGACCCCCCAGTGGTAGTCCATGCAATTCAATGGGCTGAACTGGTCGAACTGGTCGATTACCCCTTTCTTGATGTCGTATATGGCGAACTTGTTTCGCATGAAGTCCTCGGCATCTATGGTGCGCTCTACGTCTCCCGTCTGCATCTTCACATTCTGCCCATCAGTCGACTTGATCTCATACACAGACTCATCGCCCTCCTGGCGGTTGCACACCGTCACGCCCACCTTGAAACCTTTGACAGCCAACGTTTCGGACACGTTCACCCACTCGCCACGCTGGTCAAAGGTCTTGACACCTGTCGAGGAGACGCTGCTAGCACACTGCGGTGCATGCGCGACGGCCTTGGCCTTCCATGGGCAGCGAACGTTGTTATTGCCAGTGCTGGCAGCCATAGCTTTCCAAGCGTCAACTGCGATGTCGGTGATCTGTTTGTATACCCCGCGGCTCTCGTCGGGCTTGTTGAAGACGAAGTGGGCAACTCGAACATCGGCGAGCCCGACTATGTTGGACCAGCGAGCGCTCGATGGATCGATTTCGAAGTCAATCGCAAGCTTGCGAATCTTCTGCAGCAACTCATCGCCCTGTAACGCGATCTGCGCCTTGCGTTCGTTCTGCAACACATTGACGTCCGAGAGCTTCAGTAGCGTCTGTTCGTCGCCCTTCATATACGTGTCGCTCGGGCCATGCATAGCCTTGGTGCGCGCGAGCTTGAATAGCACCCCCGACCCCTCCTTCGCGATCTTGCAAGTCGCGACGGCTGCCGCGACATCTGACTTTACTATCGTCGCTCTGGCCAGGTGCCTGTTGAAGTCC